GGCGGGGGGACCCCCACCCTGGGCACCCGGTGCCTGTCCCCCCGGACGCCAGGCGAGGGGGCCCGCTCGCAGGCAGTGCCGGCGTTGTAAAAATGTATGCAAACAGTAATGGAATAAGTGACTACAAAATCCAATTTTCCTGCTCCTAGTACAAATTTCCAATACACCAAAACACCCACCTATGCTATCTTACTCACTGCAGGAAACCCCATGAGTTAGCTGCTACAAAATGTATTTTAAAAGACAAACTTGCACCTCTGAACACACGCAAACGCACACCACCATACACCATTCAAGACTAAGAGAGCAATAGTTACAATCGTAAAGTTCTGCTCTATCACCACACTGTGCTTTAAAAGAAATAAAATGAAATAAATTTCTAGTATTATCTAATGTTCCAGGTATTATATTTCTACTGAGATCTCTGCTCTTATTAAGCCATCAACACATCAACATACACCCAATGCTTCATTTTCACTGCAGAATAAAACAAGAGGGAAAAGGAAAATGTGAGCAGCATAAATCGACACTGGAGGCAACAATGAAGGACTACAGGCAATGAGAACTCACTGGGTCCTGGAAAAGTCCATTACCCAAGTCACAGACCGGTATCTTTCTCACAGCTGAAATATTTCACCTAAGAAATGCTTTTATTAATCTTTCATGCATTTTTCTGTTCTTCTGTGCATTAATTTCTCTGGACATTGCCAAATAACCCTCTCCAAAAGCTGACACAGTTCCAGGGTGTACTACAGGTGCTCCGAGGAACTCAAGTGTTTTAATCTTTAGAATGAGACAATTTGTCACAAGCTGCCATTATTGCCAAAATACCATCAGTATAAAAATATATATATACACATTCTCAGCAGAGTGCAACTTAATATAAATTTGTTAATCAGCAGCATGCCCTCCCCGCTCAGGTTAAATAGGAAAATAAACAAAGGAAATCCCTTGGTATGTGCAGAGCATGCACGTCCTATATTAATATTATCACTGTCTAAGAGGAAAGAATTTTTGCAGGAGCCACTTGTTACACTACTAAGCATATTACTCATAAGGACCTGTGGCCTCTAAAACAGCCACTAATTTTCCAGTAGCATCTTGTACTTCAGGGCACAGAAGAATGGCACTGCTGCACTTGGAAAGCAAATTATATTTTGGAGTTTGCACTTTATTATACACTAAACCGAGGTTTATGGTGTCTAATAAAGGGCCAAATCAGGTCTAGAAAGTAGTGAAACTTTTCATTCTAATATAATTTGAATTCTACATTAGCAAGAATATGATTTAAATACAGCTTTACCCTAAGTAGCAAGGCTCACAGAAAAAGAATATTAAAAAAATCAGAAGATCCCTTTGAAGAACTATTTCGGTTTTCCTTTGTAAGCAGACAAAAAAGACTTTCATATTAAATGCCTCATGAAGAAGTGCAGCCTTGGTTTCAAGCTTTCAATGAACTAAAACAATAGAGAAAATTAACGGAAGATGTAAATAGGATTTTTTGAGTCTCTTGTTAAAGTTGGAGCTGCATTTATTCTTAGTGTTATCTGCTGATCCTATTCTGGCTAAAAAAAAAAAGATTAAAATCAACTCTTTTCAGTATATTGATTACATTTGTTTATATAAAAGTCTGACAAAAAGGGTTTGTAATATTCCCTCCAACATTTTTTTAAGGTTTTAAAAATTAAATTATATAAAAAGACACAAAAACATGTGCTTAGAGAGAGTATTTTGGAAGGCAGACTGAAATAAAGGACTCCTACATCACAAGAACTATACCATTAATTGCTAGTGTGGGCTGCTATGTGTTGGTAAACTCTATTTCAGTATTATCTGCGTATGTGCTCCAACCCGGTCTCACCCAGTGACCCCCCCTCCTCGCCCCATTTTCCAGCTGGGTTTTTTCCCCCCGGGGAGCAGCACGGAGCCGGAGCTGCCGGGAAGGTTGTGCAAGAGCCGAGCTTGCCAACCCGGGGACCTGCTCAGGGCGAGGCGAGGGGACGCGGTGGGGTGGCAGCGAGCGTTGTCCCCACGCCGGGGTGGGGAGGGGCACACAAGACCCACTCGAGCCCCCTCTTTGCTTGCCCTGAAAGCAGGCAGCTCCTCAGGCTGCTGGGCAGTCCTGCCCGGCCGATGCCACCCGGGGGTCCCTGGGGACCCCAGCACCTCACCGCTCGGGCTGTTCCTCCCCGTAAAAGAAGGGAAAAAAGGCTTTGAGGGGACATTTTCCATCACAGGACCAATCCAGCCCCCGCTTCCTCCTCCTCTCCCAGCCACCACGC